ACAGCATGTAAAAATATAATATAAGCTCTGGCGGACTTGGTTCTATGGTAGGTCTTAAAGGGTTAAAGAAGTCCAGACGCTTTTCTTTGCAGCTTTGCAAGCTCCTTTGACAACAAATTCTATAGTAATATCTAAAGCTATCTTTTGCTCAGAAGCTGTACAATTAGGAAGCTTGAGGATATTTTAGTGTCAGTTGTGAAAACCTTGTGTATGGTTGCCGGTCTGTCTGGAACACCCTGCAGGGTCTTGTTGTTTCTTTGGACTATTTCCTCTTCATCTTTGAAGCACTTTTTTTATGTGTCTGACACCTTCCTTTGTCTCTTCTCAGACACTGATCACATTTGTGAACAAACACCTGAACAAGCTCAACCTGGAGGTGTCTGAACTGGACACGCAGGTACGTCACACACCTAAATACACACAGAAACGACGTGATCGGTTTTCAGGTTTACAGATGATATTTTCAACGAGAACTGTTACCTCGTTTGGATGATTAAAAGCTGTCACGCTGACACACACGCAGGCTCACTGTTTAATGATATTTGTTGGTTTTAATAGCCATTTGATGATGTCACATCTCTTTTGTTAAGTCTGTAAACGCCGTGCTCAATGTCACATGTCTATAAACCAGTTTGACTCGTTTGAACAATTCTCCTACACTCCCCCGCTATTCAGGCACTGACGGCTCACCACCGAGTGTGACTGTGCTGCTGTTTCAGTTTGCAGATGGTGTTTATCTGGTGCTGCTGATGGGGCTGCTGGAAGGATACTTTGTGCCGCTCTACAACTTCTTTCTCACACCAGAGAATTTTGACCAAAAGGTAAACTGCGGTTAAAGAAATGTCTCACCAAAAACACGCTACCTCAATATGATCACTATTTACCTTTGTAGCTATAAGGCAGAGAGGTACGGGGCTTAGGTGTCAGACTAGAAGAGGTATGCATGGTTGGTAGTGTCTAGAGATGTGCGTGCATATCTGTATGGGGTCGGTTCATATTTCTGCAGAAAAGTTCACACTTATTTTGTATTTGTTGCTGAATAAAAAAGCTGTCGTGACATTTGATGAGTCGTTCACCCGTAAAACAGCACAGACGTCACAGAAAACACAAACGCAGCTCTGTTAGGTTGTTTTTGAAGCAGTTGTGAGCTCCGGCGTCTAATATTTTTCTTTCAGAGATCTGTGAGAAACATGGCCGACACCAATCTTTAGCCCTGACCTATAGTTTAGGGAACACGCCTAAATCGATACTCCATTTCTGAGGAGCCTCACATACTTGGAGCCAAGACTCTCTCTCCCCTCAATAGCTTGATAAATGCCATCCGTTTTCCCCGGAGCCCATTCACTGCAGAGCCATCTCTCCTCTCCATTGGCCTCTGTAGTACTACGGTATTCTGAGCAGGCAATCTGCGGAGACACCACAGTAGCCTTTTGTTTGGGTCTTGGCCAGCTGCCCTTGCCAAGCTGCGAAGCAAAATGGGCATCGGGTGCTTCAATGTACACAACTGCTCGTTCGCACACACACACACAGACATTCCTGGCCCGGAAGAACAGGCACCAGCCCCACAGCATCTGTAATCTCCTATTGCACAGGGAAACACTGGAGTGGCTTAGGGGCTCAGCTCTTACTCGGTGTGTGAGTGTGTTTGTGTGTGTGTGTGTTTAGGCCCCAGAGGCCTGTGGGCGATACACCAGGGGTGGGCTGTGAAAAGTAGCACGAGGCATCAAGAAAGCACTCCTGCTTCTGCTCAGTGGATCTCTACTCCAGGCTCTTCCTTTCTTTTTTCTATTAGATGGGCTAAGGTCACGCTTTTCACACAATAAGCCCTTGTTGGGCAAAGCTTTTAGTACTTCACAGCAGGGAGAGCATACACCGACAGACACAATGTGCGGAGAATGGAAAACATCTTTCGACCATCTCTTCCCTGTGATTGGATTCCCATTTTTTTGAGTCAGACTGGCTGAGAAGTCTTTCCTCACATCTGCTCGTCTAAATGCACTATATGTGAAAAATCTTAACCACCTTTAAACAGTTTACCTGGACACAAGTCCGGTGCTACCCACATTAATATCAGCTCAGCTTCCCGGGTTCATAATTATCAGTTTTCTGGAGAAATCCCATGTCTCCACTTTGCACTAGCATACATTGCTGGGTAAATGTACAAAGGCAGCGTAAAGATGCGCTGAAGGACTTTAAAGCCGCCATTAAAGATTCTTTTGTTTCCTTTGGGGCACCTAGAAGAGTAAATAAGAACAAAATCATAGTAAACAAACAGGGGGAAAAAATCCAAGCAGCTATTTGAAATATATCGTTATACTTTGTTACTCATTCACCTTTGATAGCATGAAGAATGTGGCTTTCTGTGACTGTATCGCTTTCCCAGCATTAGGAGGGGTTTTTTGAGTGACACTGGTGTAATGTATCCACTGATAAATGAGGGAGCAGATTGTTTGTGCAGCTGCTGAAGGCTCGAGATCTTACAAAACAGAGCCGTGCTGTGTTTGCCGCGTCGGCCCACAGAGGATGTTCCCTTATCAACGAGGACCTGTGTGCAGTTTGTACGATTTGTGTTTCTGCGTGTATGCGACGCGTTTCCTTCAGCAGCCTTCTCACTCTGTCTGCAGGTTCACAATGTGTCCTTCTCCTTTGAGCTGATGCAGGATGGAGGTTTGGAGAGACCAAAGCCCCGACCTGAGGGTAGGATGTTCATTCAACATAT